TCAGATGAGGTAGCTTGCAAAGCTTGATGTAGACTTGCATTCCTTTGAATTGGATATATATTGTCAGCACACCCATCCCAGATGTGGTGGATGAGAAAAATTAGTTTAGAGGGTGGAGTAGGTGGTGGTGGTGGTGGCTGTTGGGATATTGTTTGTCACATTAATTTGCATATCGCAATCTCTCTCTTCTAAGTGATTCATTGAACCATTATTCATTCATCACTAGAATTTGTTTGATATAGAACTTTTATTTAGGATATAATGGACCAAAATCTTTGGAATTCAGCCTCTTGTGAGGCCATCAAGTTATTGAGGATCTGTGCTGGGTGAGGAAAATGGAGGGGATGCGTTCTGGGTATGGTGGTCGGGGAAGAGCAGATTTGGGTAGGGTGGGTTGTTTTTCTTTTTCTTTTTAGTTCTTTTTAAATTTTGTATAATTTTAACTTTGTGAACATGTTTGCAAATATCGCTTTATTAATTTTTAAAATATTTTTGTTTCAATAGATTTTTTTCTTGTACTATTAATTTATTATTTTTTTTTTTTACTTTTTATTTTTTATCAAATAATGTTCCTCTCTTTAAAAAAAAAAAAAAAAAAAAAAAAAAAAAAAAAAATTTGACATATCTTTGTTGATGTTATATTGTTATGGAGATAATCTCCATTTGATGTTATATTATGAGCAGCTTCTTGTTACAAAGATTTATGTGTTAAATAGAAAATATATTTTATTATATAGTTAGTGTTATGTGCTTGTAAAGAGATGAATTTTTCATTTGAAGATTTTTCACTAGTAATAATATAGTATACAAAATATAATTTATTTTTTAAAATGGCAGTTTAGTAATCAAACTTGCTTTCATTATGCGAATTAATGGATTCTGAATCAAATTTGTTTTCATTGTAACTTGTATATTTATTTTTTTGGATAAATTATGAATTGAAGTACTATTTTTAGTTTTTTGTGGTTATGTGGGCTGGTAGTTTTAGTGCGGCTTTTATCCGCTTTATGTTTATTTTAACATGTTAGTTTGTTGCCTTATTGGGATTAATACTTTATATGTCATGTTGATGTCTTTGATTATAATGTTAGAGTTTATCTAATAAACATAACATCCTGACCCAATTTTTAATCATTTATTTAATCTATATAACTATTTAATTTAATTAATTATGAAATTACAATTTTGCCCTCGAGATAGGGTTATTTTAGTCACTTTTCAATCTGGAAAGATTTTGGGAAAATGCATGCTACCGTTGCGTAAAGCGTGTCGATATGAGTTCGTAAACACGTAGTATGCTCAAATCGGAGTTGTAATGAAGAAGTTACGATCAACGGAAGTGTAGTGGCACAACCGTAAATAACTCGAAGTTAAAATTTTAAAAACCCCGGATTTCTCTCTCTCTCTCTCTCTCTCCACGAACAGTCGGCCACGGTTTTTGGCTGGCAACCACCTTATTCGGCCACCATTTGTGGCGGGGCTGGTACCAAAACGACCAACTCAACCTCCTCTTCCTACCCCACCCCACCTCGGACGAAATTGTCATCGATGTCGCCGTTAGAGTTGCAAAAACCGACTGATTTTTACCCAAAACTCCCGACGTTGTTTCAGATGATTCCAACCACCAAATTTGTTATGCTTTCTCATTCTTTCAACGTGTTGTAGCTAATGGTTGGGTTGGTTAGGATTAATTTTGAAGTTTTGAAGCTTGTTTTATAACTCAAAGTTTTGGCCGGTTTTCGGCTCGAGTTTCTGGAAAGCTCCGGCCACTTTTTAGCAGTGGCCTAAGAACAAAAGTTGCTCCACTAGTTGTCCTGATCACGTAGGTATAGGTATTGTTAGGTGTTTCAAGAATTTTCCGATCGCCGGAATTTTCTCAAGACACCCACGCGCTGCTGGGGCGTATGGCAGTGCGTGGGCCATGTTTGGGTTTTCTATTTGGTCCTAAAATGATCCCCATGTCGTCCGAGCACGAAGGTATGCTTAGATTTGAATTTGGTTATTGTTTGACAGCCGATCAAATTTACGCATATTAAGCGTTATCCGGGTTCGATATGTTCGGACCGTTGGATCGACTCCAATTCCGAATATCTTGATCTAGGTACCTCTAGGATCATGTAGGAATTTGCGGATAGAGAATCGGAGTCCCGGATGCTCCAATTCAATGATTCAAAAATTAGGTTGCAGGACATGCATAGTAAACTTTGTTGAACCCGTAGGAACTTTCGGATCGGAAATCGAAGGTCATGGGCCCCATGAGACAGGTTGACCAAGTTTGGGCAGTTTGACCCCTTGGTTGACTGTGAGTCTTTCGAGGTAGTTTTACCATTCCAGAAGTACTAGAACGACCTTATAAACAAGTCTTGACTATTTGAGTTATTTTGATTGTGTTGGGATTATGAGATTGTTTTATAGTATCTTATGAAATTCTTGGATATTATTTTGATAATTGAAGTTATGGAATAGATGAGCATGAGATACTTGATTGGTAGGTTGTGAAAGTAAGCCTTGGGTCTCAACTATAATTATTAGGAAATGAGTGGACATTTGCTTTTAAGTGTACTTCGTTCTTCTAATATGGAATTTCTTGCATAAATGATTTTTGATTGAAAATTTATTTAATTTGGGTTAATGAGGATATGGGATCTCTAAGGGTTATTATTTATCATTATTTAATATTATTATGATTATTATTAAAGTATATGGATTGGGTGATAGCGGGTTGTTTATGAAAGTCTATTATTTTAATTGTGGAATATAGTATTTTATGGAAATATGTGTAAACAAGTTTTGATTTTTATTTGAATTATTTTTGAATCTTTATGGAATATATGTTCGAGAGTTTATTTTCTATACTATGAATAAATATTTGGGAAAATTGAATTAAGGAAGGGAATATTATTTTTATAATATTTATATAAGGGTTATGAACCTCACCATCATATGTACCTTCCCTTGTCACTATACTCACACGTGACATTGGATTTTCCGGCATGTGGTAAAAAACCCGAACACATTGGATATTGGTTGTTTTACCCACACGTAACGTTGGGATTTTCCGGCATGTGAGCTCATTTGGTTTGGTTGGGCCACACGTGGCGTTGGATTTTTCAGCGTGTGTGCTCACTTGGATACTGGTTACTTTACCACACGTGGCGTGGATTATTCCGACGTGTGGTAAAGGATTCAGACATTTTGGTTACTATTACTTTATTACACGTGGCATTGGACTCTCTGGCGTGTAGTAAAGCAACGAGGAGAGGGAAAAGGATTATTATACTATATCGGGAAATAGGAGTAATGTTTAAAGAATTATGCTTAGCATTTTGTGATTTTATAAAAGGGAAAAGATGATTCTAAAATTAACTTGTTGATATTACTGAAAATAATTGTATGTTATCTGGTTCGTGATTATTGATCGAAGAACTACGTGTGGCTTGATCCCTCGGTAAAGGTATGTAGGTAGTCTAGGGTCTTACCCAGGTGCAACTGCAAGATCAATTATATTTTTGGACTTTAATTTGGTCACTGGGATCATATCCTATTTATTAGATTTATTAAGTTTGATTTTGAATTTGTCGGTGACCTGAAGCCTAGTTGGAACTTAGGCAAGATTAAATGCCTGTTTATATTCCAGTTTTTACTAAAGGAATGTGGTTAAAATGTTTTGTGGTTGTGACGAGGCTGAAACTTGTGTTAGATTGATAAATGATGGTGGATTGAGTCTTAACAACTATCTAGACTGTGCATGCTGGAGTTTGGGGGAATTTTTAAACTATAATTTTATTTATTTTACAGGTGAAAATAATTTGGCAAATGTCTGTTTTTCAGGGGAGACTCTGCCGAAATTTCAGTAAAAAGTCTCGACCCTCTTTTTCTTTGTTTGGAGAAGAGGATAACGTTAGTAAGTGGGCCCAGTATCGGGTGGATGTCGGAAAATCCACAAGATTTGTCACCAATTTCGAGGAATTCGAGGTAGGTCTTGTCAGTAAATTTTATATTGATATAATAAATAAAAAGGGTACTATCTTTCTATTTTTTTAGTGTTATTTTCATTTTTTTTTAAATTTCGGAACTTTTACACCACGACCCGATAAGTTAACAATCATGAATTCGCCACTACACATTCAGTTAAACGGGTGAGCAAAAATGCTCCCATATTTTTATGGACAACTACCATATATGTTATTTTCTATTTTATTTTTTATTTATTTGAATTTAAAAAATTGTGAATGTACCAGTTTATCCCTATTTAATTAAGTGTATTATGTTTTAGTATATATTAACCAATGACAATTATGAGAATTTTGAACGTTTCACTTTTAAGGCATCCTGTCTATATATATAGATTATTGACAGTTTAATTGATAGGTTGCCATACTTGCACGCAAGTCAGGGAAGATTTTAAGTTGGGCTTCTGCTAAACAATTGCCAATGGCACCAAATTGAGGCTTCTTCATCCAGCTTGGCCCATCATGCAAGTTGGTATAGAAAAGTGTTTTCTCTTTTATTTTTTTTCCTGCAAGAAAAGAAATAGTTTAATTATTTTGTTAACATTTTTTTCCTCACACGTGGCAAGAGAAGAAGAAGCACGTGGCAGTGTTAAAAAACAAGTGGCACCAACATCACACCGCTAGGAAGGACATTGTGACACCTATGCATGCCCATAATATCCACATGTTGAGCTCCTTCAGATAAACTACTATAAATAATATCCTAATTAAACGAAATCAACGAAATCAACGACATTTTTTTTTGGTTAATTCATCAATATCTTATATTTTGGTAATCAACGAAATTTTTTTGGCAGATTGGAGCAACCGGTCAGCTAATTGGAGATCACGGCATTTGAGGAGAACTAGGAAATTAGTTTACTTCTACTTGTTACTATTAGGTCCAAACATTAGTATTTTGTTGATTCCATAGAAGGTATTACTCATGCACTCCGATCTAGTGAGTATCACGACCGCAATGCTCAGTACCATCGAGTTCAAGAGGATATGGGACTGCGAAAAGTGCACATCTATGAATTCAGTAGGTTGAACATGGTTTATACAGTTCTCAGCAAGCGCAAGCTTTTGTGGTTCGTTCAAAATAAGAAGGTTAATGGATGGGATGATCCTCGTTTTCCAATTGTTCAAGGAATTGTGCGCAGAGGTCTTAAAGTTGAAGCTTTAATACAATTCATTCTTGAGCAGGTAAGACACTATTGTGTTGTAGATGCACAAAAGTAGTTATGATCTATGCCTATAACATATAATGTCTTCCCGCTGCTTATTATGTCCTTACACCAATTGTTTTTCCTTGGCACTAATAGTTTATTTGTTGCGATGTCCACTATTTTGAATGTTTTAATTTTTTAATTGACTTTTATACTCTTAATGTTTTAGGGAGCTTCAAAGAATCTGAATCTCATGGAATGGGACAAACTTTGGACAATTAATAAGAAGATAATTGATCCAGTATGCCCAAGACACACCGCCGTTATTGAAGAGCGGCGGGTGTTGTTGACGCTGACCAATGGGCCTGAGAAGCCATTCGTTCGCATCATTCCGAGGCACAAGAAGTACGAAGGTGCTGGGGCGAAGGCGACTACATACACAAGGACAATATGGCTAGACTTTGTAGATGCAGAGTCCATCAAGGTAGATGAGGAAGTGACCTTGATGGACTGGGGGAATGCCATTGTCGAAGGGATTGAGAAAGACGAAGATGGAAACCTCAAACTCATAGGGGTTTTGAATCTTGAGGGGTCCTTCAAGACGACGAAATTGAAGCTTACGTGGCTACCTCAAATAGATGAACTACCTAAGCTCTCACTGATGGAGTTCAATTATTTGATAACAAAGAAGAAGGTATGTCCCCCAGGTGTTAAGTTATCACACCTTAGCATAGCATATTACTTATTAATACATTGAACTTGAATTTATTGAAAAGTGATTGGTATGTGATTATTTAACTTACGATTGCAGCTTGAAGGAGAGGATTTCCTTGATGTGCTTAACGCATGTACAGAAAAGCAGACTGCGGCCTTGGGTGATTGCAACATGCGAAATCTCAAGCGAGGAGATATCTTGCAGCTTGAGAGGAAAGGATATTTCCGATGTGATGTTCCCTACGTCAGGCCTTCAAAGCCTATAGTTCTCTTTGCAATCCCCGACGGCAGGCAGCATACTGGGTTTAATTGATAAGGAAGAGTTCATAGAAATTCAACTCATGGAAGGAGAGGGATTTGACTACCGAGCAGAAAAGCTACGAGGTACCTCATCGTATAATTCACCATTCACAAATAAGTGAATTACTTTCGTTAATTACTTCATATAATTGGGTACTCTTCATGCTGGCTTCTAATACACATGATTGTTACATGCATCAACTTCTTTCAATTTTCAAACAACATTATCAAATTCTGAGAGTACTCTCCATCAATCATTCATATCTATAGAAATAAATTTCCACAAGAGATGTTTCACAAACCACATTTAGGCGATTATACAATGTAAACAACTGATTTTTGAGTTAAAAGTTCATTAATTTTTCTCATTAGTGTTTCTTAGCGTCTGTGAAATGAGTTGTCCTCCTTTTGGTTTTCCGCAGACCAATATAAGTTGTTACAATTAAAAACACATGATTATAATGGCATGTTTGGAAATGACAAATATGGTCCATAATTCACCAAGGAAATAGGACAGTCCATGCGGTCTTAAATAATTATGAATATCAATGCAAGTCAGTAGTTAATTGCCAAGTTGACCCTCCAACACTCAATAGAATGGATAAGTTGACCCTTCAGGAGGAACACAAAAAGAGTCAAAACAAAACATATTCAGCAGAAAAGAAATCAGTCCCTGTAATTGAAAAATGAGTTGATCATTTTGAGTGCTTTTGGATAAGATATGAAAAGGGATATAACATTTAAGGGCTTGAAAACCCGCAAAGTTTCAACAATCTATGTGGCTGAACTTGCATGAATCTGCATTTGTTTGGGGATGAACCATGCATTTAATCCTAAATTTCAATATAAGCAATTTTGGTACTGTTTGCTATATACGGTTTAATGATTCATCATTGTTGGATTGAGTTCATGTCATACCCTTTTGATATTTTCTTCTTTTGGTGCTTTTTGTTCCAATTCCAACTTTTCTTTTGGTATATGATCTTTAATCCTGGTTTTCCCCTCCCTTTGATTGTTCACCCTTTCTAGTTTCCTGCAAAAAATAAAAAATAAAATAAGTGTAAAACACTGAGCAAAATCATTAAATGAATCTTGCTTGATACTTGTGTATGTGTAAGAAGATATTGACAAAATGGATCAGGGCTTACTCTGAAGTTAGAAATAGCGGTTACAGTCTGCTGCTGCACCTGTTCCCCTTGCCGCTGTTTGGATGAGCCTGCTAGATTAGTGTCATGGTGGATGCCAACAGATTCATTTATGAGTGCTGCATATAACCCTGTTTTTACTAGTTGTTAAATGTTGTGAGATGGGAATATGAGCTTTGCTTTTTGAGAAGGGGATGTGTAGCATATGTGGTTTCTGTGTAAGTTATTTAGTAATAATATCTTTCAGAATCAGAAATTTAGTGCTAATGTCTTTCATAATTCATTGCTTCAATTGGTCACTCATTGGTGTAATTGTAATGTGGCGACTGTTTGTTTTGGTCTCTGTACATTTTCCGTTTGCTTTGGTACTTTATTGCTTCAGCTGGGCACTTCATATTTGTCTGTGACGTTATGGTAGATTGGGTCATTGAAAGTTTCTTGTTTTTTGGTTAATTCATCAATATCTTATATTTTGGTAATCAACGAAATTTTTTGGCAGATTGGAGCAACCGGTCAGCTAATTGGAGATCATGGCTTTTGAGGAGAACTAGGAAATTAGTTTACTTCTACTTGTTACTATAAGGTCCAAACATTAGTATTTTGTAAGGAGAAATGAGACGTGTATTTTATTTATGAAGCCTTATATTTTTACATTAATGTATTACACTTGATATTATTTTTGATGTCATTGTTATTATAAAATGAAAATTTCATACATATTTACATTGGATATTTTTTGTACTGATTAATAGTAAACAATAGAACAATTTGGGAAAGATTAGAGATTTTCCAAGAAAAAAAACAAAAAAAAAAAAAAAAAAAAAAAAAAAAGTTAGGGAAGAGATGTATGGCATTGTTAGAGTGCTATGAGTGGTGGTGCTATTAGAAAATAGCCTTTCAACTTACTCTCGCATAGTTGAGTTTGAGAAATTCTATGAATTTTTTTAGTTCAACATTATATTTTACAGCTTCAAAAACGAAGAAAATGTCACAAGAAGTTTGTAGTATTTTTCGGTTTCTATTTTAGATTCTCTATTAGTTTTGGGTGCGCAGGATGTTCTTCTCAACCATCTGATCTTCCAACTCTATTTCCTTATTGGCATGGGTGCCAAATACTTGAGCTGGAAACTCACAGGCATACCTGAGAGGGAAAGGAAACAAATCTTGGAGTTGTATATATTATGACATACTACCAAACCCGAATGTCTCTTTCTTTTTTGAGGTTGAACAGAATCAGGACTGGCAACCTCATCATCTCCCTAATTAACTACTACTGCCATAACAAGAGATGCAATGGAATCCAGTCTTCATATATTGTGAATGGCAACTATATGTGGGGCTCTTAGGGTTGAACCGCACAATGTGAGATCAAATGGAAGCTTCTCATATTCTTGAAGCACCTTCACCTGATTTGCACAACAACAGTCAACAATCATTCTCACCTTATTCTTCATAGGGATATTCTCTGGTGGGAACTTCTTTTTGCAAACCTCTATATGAGAACACCGTTGGATCAAATCCAACGGCTGCTAAGAAGCAATTGTAACTGAAAGTGTCTAAAACTGTTCCACTGGAACGATGCCTCCTCCCTCCAAAACGGATGTATTGTGCTCTTGAAGACCACAATATCTCCCTCCAAAAAAAGTTGTTCTCTCTCTCTCTCTCTCTCTCTCTCTCTCTCTCTCTCTCTCTGTATGTCTCTGTCTGTCTGTCTCAGTCTCTCTCTCTCTCGTAGGTGTAGCATTTATATTCACTGACGGGTTCATAGATTATTTCGTTGCAGACTCCATTATTTAATAATGTTGCATAGTCTATTTGATATTTGTGGAAAATTTGAAGATCAAAATCACTTATGAGGTAATTAATATCCTGGAGGAATTGTTTTTACCAAATATATTTGCATAATTTACGTTATTTTGGATGTCGGTTGTTTGATATTTCACTAGAGACTCCAAAAGGCTTCGTACATATAGCACTTGTATTCAGTAATGGTTCATAGCTTATTTCGTTTCATACTTCATTATTTACTAATGTTTGATAGTCTATTTGATATTTGGGGAAAATTTGAAGATCAAAATCACTTACGAGGTAACTGATAACCAGTAATTGTTAATTTGAGTATACTGGAGGAAATGTTTTGACCAAGTATATGGACATAATTTCGCTGGTTTGGATGTAGGTTGTTTAAGGTTTCACTAGAGACTCAAAACGGCTTCGTAGGTGAAGCACATGCATTCACTAATGGTTCATAGCTTATTTCGTTTTAGACTCGATTATTTACTAATGTTTGATAGTCTATTTGATATTTGTTGAAAATTTGATATTTCAGTGTTTATAGTATTGCGGTTAATATACATTTGAATGCTTTTTGAACGCATGTGGCAATATTATTATGATGATGATATGATTTTCAAGGTTAAATTGCAAGAATTGTGGAAAATGGAGTCTGAAGCAGAGGTGAAACCGGAAGTTAGTGTGGAGTTCAAACCAAAACTAGGACTTGAATTTGATTCTCTTGAGGATTCGTCGAAGATGTATAATCGGTAAGCACTAAAAGTAGGATAATATTCACTGAGAAACTCTTTTGTATCATGGCATCATTGTATATCATGCTTGTTGCATATTTCAGGCTGTCTATGTGGATTATGTATCATTATGGTTATCTTTATGCACCGTACAACACATATTCAACATCATTGTATTAAAACATTGTTTAGAAGATTGGATTTTCCAAATAGCAAAGAAGAAGGCGGAGAAGAAGAGGAGTGGGAGAGATATGTGTGAGGTTTTAGGGATATATGTGGCACATGCCCCACCCAAAAAAAGGGGATTATGAATTTTATGAAAACAAATATAATCATAATCATATTACACGTGGCACAACAAGAGATTAAAATCAAATCACATCAGTGTTTGTGACGTAATATGTATATTAAAATTCCAAAACATGATAAACTGTTGATAATCTTTTAAGTCATTTATAACATTTTTTTTTTTTTTTTTTTTTTTTTTCTTTTGTTTAGGAGAATCTAGGGAGAGAATTACGTAAAATTACATTTATGACACCCTACACTTTCCAAAACATGATTATCTTCAAATAAATGCGCGAAAAATCTAGGGAGAAAATTTTCAGTGTTTTTTTAAACATTTTTGTGAATTTTGTCAAAAAAAAAAAAAAAAAAACAAGTGATGACATGTGGCGCTACAAAAGGAAGAAAATTGAAACTTTGATAAACGATTTGAATTTTTTATGTGTAAAAATTATATTTTAAAGCTTAAAAGATAAAGAAAATGTCATAATGAGTTTTTGAGAATTCTTGGTGATTGTGATTTTTGGAACTTAAAGCATTGCAAAATAGTAATAAATAGAAGAGAATGACACATGGCAGCCCCAGATTGATGCATTATCAGAGTTTTCGACAGGTGTCAGTATCGCGTAGCGCCATGTGTCATCAGAGGTTTTTTTTTTGTATCTTAAACTTAAAAGATTCACAAAAATGAATAAAAAATCTTTAAAATGCACCGAAGATTTCAGAAAATCCCTTGCAACATTATCTTCAACCATGAGGCATGAAAACAAAATTTTGACTTTGGAAAATTTGAAGTAATAACTAGAGGAAGAGTTGTTATAAAGTAGTGATCAATACTTTGTAAACCACTTTTTGGACTTGGGATATGAAGTATTGATGTTGAGAAATATGTATGTAATTTTTTTTTTCCTTTTATTTTAATATTTTAAACGATTTACAGTAAAATATGATTAAAATATAACAAATGTGACACATGTCAGCACAAGGAGAGCCTAGCATCCCATCACTTCCATGTGTCGGCAGGGGAAACCGCCACCTGGCATCCCATCCAATTAACTATTTATTTTTACTTCAAAATTGATTTAAAAATCGTTTATAATTCAAAAAATAATGTGGGGATTGGTATGACATTTTCTTCGAGCACGTACGTCAAATTTCACTAGTGCATTCAAATTTCGATCCGATCCTTATGTGATCAAACAATCAATAGCTTAGGGTTTATAAAGTGTAGTTATGCTTTCATTTGCATCATTCACATTTAGGGATGACCCCCAAATTTTAATTTTAAAACAATTGTAAACCACTTTTTGGACTTGGGATACAAAGTATTGGTGCTGAGAAATAAGTATGTATATATTTTTGTATTTTTTCCATTTATTTTTATATTTTAAACAATTTTTATAAAATATGATTAAAATATAACAAATATGACACGTGTTAGCACAAGGTGAGTCCAACATCCCATCCACTTCCATGTGTCAGCAAGGAACGTTGCCACCTGGCGTCTCATGCAATTAACTATTTCTTTTGACTTTAAAATTGATTTAAAACGGTAGAGTTTAGTGGTTTGGGGTTTAGGGGTTAGGGTTTATGGGTAAAGGAGTATTATAGAAAGCGTTTTCATATGACAAACTTGTCATGCTATATATATATATATATATATATATATATGAGTGTGTTTTTATGCTATCAAAACAGAATAACTTGGGATGGGTATTAAATATATGATTTTGCATGTGTCATCTTCAAAAACCAATTTATTCCTCAACAAAAAAAAAAAAAAAAAAAAAAAAAAAAAAAAAAAAAAAAAATAAAGCTAATACTATATGCGGTTATGTTTGTGAAGATGTGTTTATCAACGTCGACTTCTTCAACCAACACTCAACCAAAGAGGTGTTAACTGCTGTGCTGAGATGGTCATATTAATTTTCAAATCTGAAAGGAATCTGCAGTGTTGAACATCATTACTTTCCCTTACAACAACTCTTCCTCCAATTATTACTTCATATTTCCCAAATTCAAAATTTTGTTCATATTTCCCAAATTCAAAATTTTGTTTTCATACAACATAGTCGAAGATAATGTTGCAATGGATTTTTAGAAATTCTCTGTGCATTTTTATGGATTTTTTTTATTCATTTTTTGTGAAATTTTTACGTTTAAGATACAAAAATGAACCTCTGATGACACATGTCGCCATGTGATACCGACACTTGTCGGAAACTATGATGACACACCAAATCTGGCACTACCATGTGTCAATATATTCCATATATTAGTGTTTTCCAATGCCTTAACTTTCAACAATCATAATAAATTTATTAAAATTCACCAAAAATTCCCACAAACTCCCTGTCACATTTCCTTCATCTTTTAAGCTTTAAAATATAATTTTCACATGTACAAAATTCAAGTAATTTCTCAAAGTCAAATTTGTTTCTATACTAACAATTCCCAAAATCAAAATTTTGTTTTCACAAGTCGTGGTCGAAGAAAAATGTGGCAAGCGAGTTTTAGAAATTTTCGGCTTCTTTTTTCATTTTTTGTGAAGTTTTTAAGTTTAAGACACAAAAATGAACCACTGATGACACATGTCGCTATGTGATACGTACATCTGTCGGAAGCTTTGATGACGCACAAATTTGATGCTACCATGTGTCATTCTCTACCATTCATTAGTTTTTTTCCAATGCTTTCCAAAAATCATAATAAATTCACCAAAAAATCCCACAAACTTCTTAGTAAAAATATAGGGAAATAAGCTGGTATAATCACAAATCAGAAATAGTGTGCTGAAATAATCATGCTACAAATTGTATTCTAATATAATCACTTGGGGACGTGAAATGACCGAAGTGCCCTCCATATAAAAGCAGATGTATCAACCCTTTAGCGCCTCTTTCTTCTGTGTTTTCGCAGTTTGGCATAGCGGCTCTTTGTTCTCTGTTTTCGCAGTTTGGCAAAAATGGGGGAACTCTAGGTTGCGAGACATTTTGGCACTGAGCAATCCAGTTCGCAACCCATCCATAGTCACAACCCAGATGTCCTAAACTTTCGAACCCTAGTTTGACCGTAGCGAAGCCGGCGGAACGCACCGCCTCCATTGTTGACCTCCAGATCGAAGTGACTGTTGCGACTCCACGGAGAAGCGAAAGTGGCGACTTCCGGCGTCGTTGTGAACGGAGGTGAGTTCAGATATTGGTTTGGTAGTGTATGTGTATTATAAAATCGTGCATCCCCTTTTCACCACAGAAGGGCAGAAGAGCTTAAATTTTTAGTTTCAAGGCGTTATGATATGTTGAAATTCATAGTTTGTGTTATTATCTGCAGTGGGATGTATGTGGTAAACTTGAATTTTGGTTAAAATTGACGGAATGCTTGTATAATGTAGTGCAATGTGTTTGATAATGGGCAAAATAACAGCACACAGAAAAATCATATGTTAACTTTGTCTGGCCTAAAAGTAGGTTTGTTAGGGTAGTTTTAGGCTGAATGTATATGCTAATGTGGGGAATTTATTGGCATTCTGGGTTTGTTTTGGTAAGAAGTAAAGTTTGTGTGTTTTGGTTTCCAATTTGGTAATTGAGCTTATACCACATAATATGTTCTGTATCACAACCTGAGCCTTTTGTTGAAGTAGTTTACATTTGTTGAAAACCCTTAGAGGTTAGAGGGTTCATATTGCTGCCATGGTATGTTTATGTGAGTTTGTGAATAACTTGGAACCCACAGCTATGTACAAAATCAGAGAAAAGACAGAAATGAATAAAAGTTCCTTGTTGAAGCAGCTAGAATTTGAGTTTGGAAGATTTATAAAATGATACGTGTAGTGGTATGTTTTTATTTGTTTGAATGTATCTTTTTTAGTTTTATTCATTGCTGTAGTAATTATCTATGTTATTTGCAGAAATGGATCTGTTGACCGCGATATTATCTATAATATCGCGATCTATTGTGATGTGAACTTTAAATACAAAGCATTATTCACTTGAAGTCACACAAACAGAGGATGAAACCCTTCCCCCCTTCTAGGTTTTGAGCTACTTAACCACAACGCCAGTCATCGCTTTTTGATTACTGACTATGGACTCTGGTATTTATAAGTGTTCGAACCTGTTTTGCAAAATGAAAATTATTTACTTAGTGTTCTATATTGTTGCTCAATTATTTCATTACTTGATGTCATTCATTACAAACCCTTTTTAATCCATTTCATGTTATTGCTTCTTTAATTCGAAGGTTCATTATAAGTACTGAAATTACTATCCCTTCAAATTGTTGCTTGTTTACTTAAATGAACACCCTCCTTTTTTTTATTTCGTATTTAATTCTTCCTTTCATAACTGTATTTTGTTCCACGTAAAAATTTGCATGTATGTATACTGTCCGTGGTTTGTATGGAATCGATATCTTTCCGATCTTTCCATGGATATTTTCGTGCTTCAGAACCACCAAACTTTCCTAAACCCGCCATCGTTACGACCTTTGCTACAGTCCCTCTTTACCATTACTCAATTGGAAAAGCTATATGCTATGATGCCAATCAATAAAGCATCAATACAAGCACAATATACCTACCCTACGATCACAATATGACACAATACAGTAGCAATACAAAAACAATAAAACAACAATATAAGTACTCTACGATTCCAATATGAGACAATAATATACCAATACACAAACAATATAAGTACTTGACGCTTCCAATATGAGGGCAATAAACATACAATAAGCACACATACAGTACACAACACTTTACGTTTATAAAAACTTACTAATTTGCCACTGAACCGTGAGAATAAGAGCACGGCGTAAACAAAGCACCACATTCATACAAAATTCATTTCGTGTCCACAAAATGCTTTGAACCCGTACTTACCCTGACCCAGCTA